CTATAGTGTATTACATAGTTTTGTTTGTCAAAAAGAGTAGGAATTAATTTTTTATTATTATATTTTAAATTTCATTTAGTTAATACCGAATTTTGATAATTTGATAATAAATCATACGGAATATTAATAATCTCTGGAGCTAACGATAAATCATTATGTCTATGGTGGACATTTTCAGGATATTTAATTAAGATTACTTCCAAAAAATATAACCAATATTATTTTTATCTAGTAATTACAAAACAATAAAAACCACGATAATACATTGATAAACGAATTATTACAAAATAAATAAATTATATATATACTAGCAGATTAGCCCGGTGTTGCTCGGGCAAAAAGTAACGATAGCGAAGATTAAGATTATATTAATTAAATTATCAACAACCGTGAGGCAGATAATAGTGAGGGCTTATCAGACCAATGAGGGCACAAACGCTCAGGGATCAAAGTGAAAACAATTTAATAAACACAAAAAATTACTACATAAGTGTGAAAACGAAAACCAAAAATGCATATCAGACTATTTTCTCGATAGAAAATAGTCCCTCATCAGTTGGTATTAACTAAAGGTAATGCTATATTAGAATTATATAAGGTAACGATCAACTTAAAACTAAGCCTAAAGCTATACAATATAAAGATGAAAACGCCGTTATAACAGTATGAGCAGTAAGCATTATCAGTGTAGACAGGTGTAATAAATCTTCATGACTTTGCATGGTGGAGTGACATACAGAGTGCTGATATCAGCACCCTGTTATTACAGCCAATCTTACCCGTTTTCACAGAATGCAAGAATTAGGTCCCCCTATTTCCAGACTAATTAAAAAAATTTTAGATGGGTCTAAAAATATGTTCGATTTCCCGCTAAAATGCAAAAAAACTGCATCTGCGCCTGTAAATCTTGCATGTTGCTTTCTCTTAACACTTATATTGTTACTTAACACTTATTGTTGAAGCCTTAATCCTATCCCTCTCCCCCTCAGGGGGATTTCGAAAAGTCCCTTCTTAGTGTACAGTACGTTCTCGTGACGTACCCTAATTGTGTACCAAAGTTCAACTCCTAAACGTTTGGGCTCTACGCTGATTATCATCATCAACCCTTCTCGATTATATATATATATATAATTATACATAATATATATAATTTATACATTATATATACATACATACATACATACAAAAATGTAATACAAAATTTATATAGTAGTAATTATAAGTAGTAATTTATATAGTAGTAAAATAGTAGTAATCCAGAACACATTATCCATTGATGAAGTATCAATTTTTATAAAATTCATCACAACATATAAAATGGGATTATAGAATACATAAGATAGTAATTTATAAGGTTTTTCAATATCAATTCATTATGCTTTCATATTTATTTACTATTTATAATTGACAACTAGAGACAGAAATATTCACATTAGTAATAATAACAACTTTTAAAATGAAATCTATTCATTTATTTCTATAACTTTAAAAATGGTGGGATTAGATACTTTTCTAAAATCTTAGAAAGTCAATCACAGATCTTTTGAGAAATGGCATAACTATTACACACACAAATAATAATAGATTGATGTCTACTTTGTGCTCCTGATTATTACTTTCCTTTTGATATCAGTTTAAGAACACCATTATGTCAAAAAGCTTAACCATGATCTTCCGTATAGTTGCAAGACATATCACTGAAAGAACTGTTTTGCAACTTTGAAGTGTTGCAACATAGTTTTTGTAGTTTTGTCTCTCTTTACAATTGTTTGTATTCTAAACCTGTAGGCATTGTAAGTTATTTAATACTCATTTACAACTAATGGAATATCTATATGAAAGTTGACAATGTATGACATTTTTCAAATGATTCTGTTTGCAGCTTTGATCTAGCTTTATCTTTTATTAATTGATAACCTATGTAAATTATTCCATGTTTATGGTTTAGGAATTAGTAGTATGAATAATGCAAGGCAAGCTCCTTGCTTGGATGCATTTATTTTTCCTAAAAATATTGATTGGAGCTTGATATTGCTCTTACAAATCTGTATCTATCTCTTGCTGATGCTGAATTCCTGCTTCTTTCTTGCCAATTATGTATTGCTCTTCAGTTCTAAATTTTTAAGTTAAAATTTAATGAATAAATAACATTAAAATTTGTATTAGTGACATCATAAAACAGATATTCAAAACAAAGATTCTGTAAAGACAGATTTTGATTTTTTTATATTTTGAGAATGAATTTGTCAAGATTTTTAAGATAATAAAATAGAAAATAACAATAATAAAAATTTTCTATTATAATTAAATTATAATATATACAAGGATATATAATAAAATTACATATGATAAAAAAGATGCTGTATGTAATTCGTTTATTATTTAACACAATTCATTCAAAATCTCCATTAACATAATTAAACATATACATTATGTTTTATTCTTCTTAAAGGCATACTATTTAATCCAATCACAGGAACATTCTCTATAATCTGAATCAGAATGGTTAAATTGTCAATCATGTTGAAATACATTGAAATAAAGTCATTTTGATAACACATATGGGAAATAAAACAAGTAAACAAATGAAATTCTAAACAGCTTTTCCAAAAGTATGAAATTTTATTTTATACAAAATGATACAATTTCTATGGTGGACCATATCCAACCACTGAATCTACGAATCTTCATTTTCAATTATTACAGACTGTTGAATTTTCTTCCAAGATTCATAAAATTTTACAAATGTAATACAAAATTTATACAACCATAAACAATTAATTAAACAAAATATCAACACAATCAAAATCATTGGAGAACTATCCAAAAAATAAAAAAATTATAAATATAAAATGATACACCCACTTGAAAGCAGAAGGAAAACTAATTATCACGTCAAAACAACGGATAGTCTCCCAAATTCCTTAGACTAACACCATTTAAAGACAAGAGATAACGCCCCTTCTGCGCAAAACCAAATAATCAATACTATTTATTAATGTAAATAGTAAATTAATTTAGTTAGCCATCAACTAATAATCTTCAAAAATGATCAGTTATAACGTTTATCAATAACACATTTAATAACGTTATAGTAAAGGAAGTTAATGTCAACATATATCTCAGTACATACGTGTCTGGAAATGGTGTCACACAATTATAATATTTTTCATTTCCTGTCCTTACAATCAAAGAAAAAGATATCCTATTTATCTCGTTAGAGATTATGACAAGACATTGTCGGGATCAACCTCTGGAATGTATTATATTTTACGACTTTGGCATGCATACCAAGTATAGCTAAGCAAATATTTTTAATGACTTTAACACAGCAGGTTCCATGCATATAGCACAGAAAAATGAAAGATTGAATGGCGAAAAAAAATACCTAAATATTAAATTCACAAATAACGTTGACAGTTCAAAAATACTCCATCATTATTACTACTACTTTCCTATAACCCCTGTGCCACTATTTCAAAATTCCACTTACTTTGATTACATAGTAAATCTTGCATGTTGCATATATATATATAATTATACATAATATATATAATTTATACATTATATATACATACATACATACATACATACATACAAAAATGTAATACAAAATTTATATAGTAGTAATTATAAGTAGTAATTTATATAGTAGTAAAATAGTAGTAATCCAGAACACATTATCCATTGATGAAGTATCAATTTTTATAAAATTCATCACAACATATAAAATGGGATTATAGAATACATAAGATAGTAATTTATAAGGTTTTTCAATATCAATTCATTATGCTTTCATATTTATTTACTATTTATAATTGACAACTAGAGACAGAAATATTCACATTAGTAATAATAACAACTTTTAAAATGAAATCTATTCATTTATTTCTATAACTTTAAAAATGGTGGGATTAGATACTTTTCTAAAATCTTAGAAAGTCAATCACAGATCTTTTGAGAAATGGCATAACTATTACACACACAAATAATAATAGATTGATGTCTACTTTGTGCTCCTGATTATTACTTTCCTTTTGATATCAGTTTAAGAACACCATTATGTCAAAAAGCTTAACCATGATCTTCCGTATAGTTGCATGACATATCACTGAAAGAACTGTTTTGCAACTTTGAAGTGTTGCAACATAGTTTTTGTAGTTTTGTCTCTCTTTACAATTGTTTGTATTCTAAACCTGTAGGCATTGTAAGTTATTTAATACTCATTTACAACTAATGGAATATCTATATGAAAGTTGACAATGTATGACATTTTTCAAATGATTCTGTTTGCAGCTTTGATCTAGCTTTATCTTTTATTAATTGATAACCTATGTAAATTATTCCATGTTTATGGTTTAGGAATTAGTAGTATGAATAATGCAAGGCAAGCTCCTTGCTTGGATGCATTTATTTTTCCTAAAAATATTGATTGGAGCTTGATATTGCTCTTACAAATCTGTATCTATCTCTTGCTGATGCTGAATTCCTGCTTCTTTCTTGCCAATTATGTATTGCTCTTCAGTTCTAAATTTTTAAGTTAAAATTTAATGAATAAATAACATTAAAATTTGTATTAGTGACATCATAAAACAGATATTCAAAACAAAGATTCTGTAAAGACAGATTTTGATTTTTTTATATTTTGAGAATGAATTTGTCAAGATTTTTAAGATAATAAAATAGAAAATAACAATAATAAAAATTTTCTATTATAATTAAATTATAATATATACAAGGATATATAATAAAATTACATATGATAAAAAAGATGCTGTATGTAATTCGTTTATTATTTAACACAATTCATTCAAAATCTCCATTAACATAATTAAACATATACATTATGTTTTATTCTTCTTAAAGGCATACTATTTAATCCAATCACAGGAACATTCTCTATAATCTGAATCAGAATGGTTAAATTGTCAATCATGTTGAAATACATTGAAATAAAGTCATTTTGATAACACATATGGGAAATAAAACAAGTAAACAAATGAAATTCTAAACAGCTTTTCCAAAAGTATGAAATTTTATTTTATACAAAATGATACAATTTCTATGGTGGACCATATCCAACCACTGAATCTACGAATCTTCATTTTCAATTATTACAGACTGTTGAATTTTCTTCCAAGATTCATAAAATTTTACTAATGGAGTGCCTCTTTCTTTCAATTCTCTTTCCCATTGTTTCTAAATAAAAAAGAAATTTAAATAACATATTTACTTTTATTTTATCAATTCTTTAAAATTTGATAAATAGTTTTTTAATGTTAAGACTTACAATGGCATCAAAATCTGACAACTTGAAAGTAACTGATTTTCTCCTGTTTGTAATTTCTGTAGAATTTTCTTGAATTTTATCAATCAGCTGCTTTAATTTTCGAGAGTAATTGGAAATTTTGCAGGTTTTTAAAAATGATTTAATCTAAAAAAATCAACATATTGATAATATTGTTACACTCTTAGAGTTTTAATTCAGCTCATGTAGTTTTTGAATTAAATACTATATTATAAATTTATGAATATACATCTTTCATAGTAGTCAAACTTGTATCAAGTTTTTTCTGTTATCAATAACAATTTGAAATCTTAAATATTTCATATTTAATAAAACAAAATTATATTAATTAATAAAAAGAATTTTTTTACAAGTGTTGATTAATAAATAAGTGTGCCATCTTTATAAAACTAGTTTGAGAAGAAATAGTATAAATGTGACCAGTTTTAAATACAGGAGCTCCCCTATTTATGAATGTTCAACTTATAAACTTTCATCAGATTTATGATTAATTTGACTGTGTGTCTAAATTTTAAATTTCATGCAATTTAAAGTTCTCTTGTCAATAGGGTGGTGTTGAAGTCTGTCTTCAGCCAGTAATAAATAATAAAGTCTATTGTGTATTGTCATTTTTTGTTTTTGCACGAATTCTGAGGTTCTTGCTTGTGAGGTAGTGTTGAAGTACATAACATTGGAGTAATGTTGTTTTTTGCTATTGTTTGCAATTTTTATAAACTTTTACAATTAATGCTTTAAAAATGCATCCAAAATATAATAGCAAACCTAGCAGTAAATGTAAATGCAAGAAGTGTGGATCTATTACCATGGAAACTAAACTGAACATTATAAAACTAAGTGTGTTAGGTGAAAAAACCATATATGAAACACCTTCTACTAAGCATTAGTGAGTGGATAAATTAGCTTATCATATTCTATTAAATACATTGAAGGATTAAATACTAACAATAAGAAACGTAGTTATTCTATGTACAAATGTATTTTCTGGGTTAGTTTTTGACTTATAACAAAATCTTAAGGCCATACATGTTAAGTTAATCCTTTGAAACTACCTGACCTTGAGGAACTTCAGAATTTCCTATCGCCCACACATGAAGAAGAAAATCTCTCAGCAGAGGCATAGCTAGGGTGGGGCAAGTAGGGCACGTGCCCCGGGCGCAACTCGCAGAGGGGCACCAAATGGTCTCCAAGACAAACAAGATTTGTTTCTGGAGGAGGAGAAGGGTGCAAATATAGTGTCGTGCCTCAGGCGCCAGTTATGTTTGCTACGCCATTGACTCTCAGTCAGTCAGTCAGTCAGCCATGGCATCTGATGACGACATACTGGCTGTTCTTGGATGTTTATTGGTAATAAATTCTATTAAAACTCGCGGAAAAAAGTATGCATAGAAGTCTATGGTGTAAATAGTAGTAGTAGTAGTGGTAGTAGTAGTAGTGGTAGTAGTAGTAGTAGTAGTAATAGTAGTAGGGATTTGGGTAACACTGATCACAAAATTAATTTTTCAAGAGAAATCTTGGGCTATAGATTCTGTTAAAAAGCATCAATTATCAGTGAAAGATCAATGGCAAGTCAATTTTACTACCAAAAAAATTCATGGATTAAATTTTATAGACGAATATATATTAATAATTCTCAACCACATCTGATATTAGTACAAATTGTAAACATTATTATTGCAAATTAATTTTATAATTTAATAATTAAAAAGAATTTATTAAACTTTGTCTTATTTTAAGTTGTCATGTTTTAATTTACTTGGATATTAAAACAATAAATTTTTTAAAAT